TCAGCAGTTTACAATAGGGGTGTGTTTCAATTTCCTTCTCTACTGTCACTGACACTAAACCCTGTCTGCTCAGGAGTGAAGGTAGCTGAAGCAAAATAGCCTAGGTTTTGTAGAGTGGATTTTACACTACAAATATGTGTGCACTGTCCTCCTCAACTGACAATTTGCTAAACCCCTGCGTTAGCATTTCTCGCTAACTAGCTTATTATAGTAGTCACAGAGCGTTACCTCCAAGGCCAGTGAGCACATAACTAGTTCATCTTTTAGGAGTGTGACCCGGTGTTAGGAGGTATTGCTTTCACAACCCCCTGACCAGAACGTCAGAGTTTAAGAGCGCATAATATCACAGTCAGCAATTTAAATGTTTAATTTAACAAGGGTACATGTTCTTACTTTAAACTGCTGACTGTCTGTGGCTCCACCCTGTCCACTCTGCTGGACACACACCTGCTCCACTGTAGAGGAACGTCTGGTCTCAGCCTCCAAATCCACAAGGATTCAACCTATTTTCATACACAGAAACCATTTATCATTGCCTTTAACAACAAAATTATTGCTTGTTTTCTTCCCGTTCACAACCGTTCACTACAGTCAGAATAATGAACACCATATGGGTTTAGCAGAATGAACGGAACCAGGCATTTTGACTGCAAAGAGGGTGAAGATGTTGCATTTTGCAAGTTTGTTGTTGTGTTCTTGTTTCTTCAACAGGTGTTTGATTAATTACTCTCTCCATTACTGTTGGTTTTGTTGCACATATAGAGTGTTGATGTCTGTGTAAAATTGGAAGCTTGTGAATTTTCCACCTTAGATCAATGGGGTTTTATAATTAGCGGTGAATTAGCAATTCAGCTACAGCTGATACAGTAGCAAAGTGACTGCAAAACCCTGCTTTGTTAACTTCTGTCTGAAATCAAGGAGCCATTGTATTTAAAAAAAGAAACATTTTAAAATTTGTGACAGCATTTTAATCACTGTTTGGACCATGTGGAAAAGCTGACGGGCTTAGCAAGATAAAAGTAAAAGTGACAGTCCTACTGTTTTTTCAGTCATACTCCAACCTCATTTTTGCATCAGAAAGTCCATATAGCCTAATGTTTGCCCGAGCCCTTATCTGCACTGAAACTTCAATTAGAGTAATGTTCAACCCATTATTTGTGAATAAAGACTGGAGTCAGGTTCCTTTGCAATCAGTTACTCGCTGCTTAACATACTGAAATGCTTTTTAACCATCGGATGATGTGCAGTAGAGTCACACGTCCAGTTACTACCACAGCAAGAAACAAAATGCTCACTGTGATTTTTTTTCCCCTCAGGACTGTAGCAGCGCTCTGTCCACGTGCTGCGTTTGAAGTGGGTTTTGAGCTTCATCTATTATGGATCAAGTGACATTTTTCTGATGACAGCCCCTGATATACCTCTTATGAGATGGGCATAGGAATAGACACCCTGTATGCTCTTTGCTTTCATTATCTCTGTTCTTTTTCTCTTTTGCCCCAGGAGAAGGTTCTGGAGTCAGACAGGGAAAAAAGTACACAGAACATATGGAATCAGACAGCAAGTCAAAATAGTTTATTATAGAACAGGATTCATAGTTGAGGCACTACCTCACATTTAGTATAGGCACTGAACTACTGCACTGGAGTCACAGCCACAACTTGGTCTGGAAGCCAAAGCCTGCCGGCCACACTGATGCTGGCTGCAGCTAAATGTACAATGCTGTAAGTCATCACACTGAAATCAAGGCTCCACAGTATTACATGAATGTGCAAAATTAAGCTAGAGTAGGCTCTTTTTTAATTTTCCCTTCAAGGTGACATGGATATTGTTATTAATAATTTGGAAAATTAGGCTCTGTATAAGCTCTCATGATCAAATTATTAATCAAAGTTATGTGGCTGTTAATGGGAATGACTGAACCCAGCAGTAACCTTGTTATCATTTTGAAAAGCCGCAGACTTTGTCCTTTGGTGTAACGATGTGACTGGCAGGCTTTGGCGAAGGGAGGCAGCCTTTCCATGTGAACATTACTTGGTTATACCACTGATAAACTGATTGAGCCTTATCTGTAACACATCCACACTCTTTGTACTCTCTCTCAAAAACTAAGAAAACACTGCAGTGTCACAATCTAAAACAGTGACAACAACAAGAACCACAATATTTTTTATGATTTATGATATTACTATTACTCTTATTATTATTATAATAATAACAAAAGTAATTCCGGCATCTCCCCACTTGTTTCATTCTCGTTTGTGTATGTAAGTAATTAAAAGGAAACACTCCTTCTGTAAACAGACTGTAGCTTAATCTTGTTTTTTTGGGGGTTTTTTTTTGAGGGATTACCAAGTAGCATACAACATATTGATAATACATCTGTGGTGCAGAATAAGCACCTCCCATCAACAACACAATGTGTTGCTTCTTCGGTTTGTTGCTGAGTGATGACAACTGGATCACATTTAGGGATGGATTCCAATAGCCTGTTCTTTTTGGAGTCTGAAAGAAAAATACTTATTTTTAAACTAACAAACTTCTTAATCAGGTTGAATATGTGATTTGAAAGGATTTGGGTTTGATAAGCAGATTGGGAACTGGAATCAGATTCAATAAAATGCTATCAAAGCTCATCCCTAGTCAGTTCTGACCACATACATAGAAAAGAAATGTTCAAAACATGTGCCATAGTTCCTATTTTGCCTTGATTTGTGGCTCTATATGAGGATGTATAATGTCCTTTTAGTCCCTGAAATGGGCTGAAAATCCTGTGATTCCCAATAGCCTGTGGTGTTTTTATTAGACCCATCCTGCTTGGTAAACACCTACACCATCAGGGTTATTTTCAGACTGAAGAAGCACCACAGAGCATAGTTCAGATGTGTTTGGGTTTCAGTTGTTTAGTATGAGAAGCAACTGATTTTAATTTGTAAAATATGCAGATCTCAAGTCAGTATTTTAACAAATCGGTGTCACTCGTCTCATAGATTTGATTGAGCAGAATTTCAGTTTTCTGAGTGAATATGATCCAATTGTAATAAACTATATAAAGCATAAGAAAATACATATTTATGTTGTATTTCTTTCTAGTTATGTTACATTGTTTGAATATATTTGTTGTCAGTAAAACTGGGGTTGTATCTGGCTTTATATTGTCACTGAGGGTGAAGCTTGATTCATGGTAAGTGCATAGTTTGAAGTGGCAGATTATTCTATGTGGCTGAGTTAGTTTGACTCAAAGGGTGTGTATGTGTATTTCTACACAGTTATTACAGGGATCAAAATATGAAGTTCAAAGTAGTTTAACAAAAAGTATAAGCATATTTGGAGCCTAACTTTAAAGTGTTTCACACACATTACACATCCCCACACACCCCATCTAGTGAGCTGAGTCCCCCCTCCTTATGCTGGTTTCTATCTTTCCTATTAGCTTTAGAACACTTAAGTTCAGTAAACCTCCCAAATCACATTTGCACATACAGAGAACATGGCAATACTGACCCATTGAGACCACAAAGCAGTTTACCAGGTTTCTACCATGTCAATCACAGTAGGGAAACAGCACGGTACAGCGAGAGAAATCAGAAGAGGAGAGGGAGTCTGGGTTTGTGTTTCCCAAAATGTCTGTACACACTAGTTTGACTTTAACTCTCAGCAGTGAAAATGACAAAGAGCGCTGACGGCTGCTGGTTCTCAGACTACGTCACTGTTTTTTGAAGCGTTTTGTTTCAATCACAGAATTATTTTGCTGATGGGCAGAAATCCAGAAGGTAATGAGCCACTCAAAAGATTGAAATACTAATAATTTATGCAAGATTTTTTTTCTTCTGTCTTGTCACTAGCTCTAACCTTTTGTAGGTATTTTGACTTAGCAACCCAGAGAGCACAAATACATACATCCTCATTTTTAGTCTTATAAAAAACTATGCTCATGTGAATTTCATCTAATCAACATAATATACACACTATGTATTTACTTCAATGTCTGCTGCAACGCCAGCCCAAGCAAAGCTTTATAAGAATATGTAACTAGTGACAAACACTATGGGGAACCCATTTCAGACAACATCACGATACATCAGTCACCTCACAACCTCAATCCACAACACAAACAACTGGAGGGCAAAATAATTAACAGATAAGAACAATTAACAACAAAAAAGAAATACTATCTATTATTATAAGAATTATATAATCTATTATATCTAATCATGTTTACCTTACTAATAATAATAAAGGGGATGTTTGATATTTTGCCCATAGGCTCAAACACAAAATAAAACTAAAACCCAACAAGAATACATGAATACACTAATGCAAGAGGAACACATTTATGCTACTTGAGTGGTGTTGACACTGTTCCTTGTTGCCCAGGAAACTGTGCTGAAATTTGCCACTAAAAAAAGAGAAGTAGAGTTTTTTTTTTCCATTGTCAAAAGTAAGACACAACTCTGTGCTGGATTCATAAAATTGAAAACAATGTAAATTCAGCATCTTCCACCCCCATCATTGCACTGTGCTGAATGCACCCTGTTGTTTTGACAGAACCTGAGTCTACGGGCCTTATTTTTGTGAATGAAGGCACGAAGCATGCCGTGCACACCAAAACATTAAAGTGGGGCCCAGCGTGTCTTGGACAAGAAGGTACATGCTGAATCTACAGATATTTGAGAGGTAATGATACACAAGGCAACCTTTTGGGGCAAGGCAAGTCATATCTGCTCACCTCTCATGGTATACATCTGGCTGAAAATGAGTGTTGTACTTGTACATTTGTTTACTGTCAACATTGATCTATACTGCAGGGTACTGTAAACTTGTATAATAATTGTAGGGCACTTGTTGATTGTAAAATTTCCCTGTGCCTCAGGTTCTGCAGATTTTTCAGACTTAATTTGAAAATTTTACCAATAAATCTATGCTTAATATAACCATATCAATTCTCTTCTCACGAGAAATATGTTCATTAGAGATGGGCAATGAAACGATGCCAGTGTTTGTCGTTGATGGCTGACAGGCATCACGATGGTGAGCTTACCCCACCGCCGCACTTGCACAGCAGTGCCAGTGACACCCACAGCCTTGTTAGCAAAGCTCAATGTGGAAATCATTCGGGTGGCAGCTTCTGCTGATCGTTGCTATTTATGGTTAAAATGACAACCAGCAGGGTCGTACCAGCTGCCGCTAAGTAACCTTAACTCCCTGATTTCAGTTGATGACAGGACAAAATGAAACTGAACTGAACCAAACATTGAGTTGTTGGGTTTGTGACCTCCGTGCAGCTGGTGTACTGCTGTTAGCCGAAGACCGTTTATGAGATAAAGAGGCATCACTCTGTACCACCACTGAATAATTAGAGTGAACTGAGCATTTCTCTGTAGTTCCAACAACCCCAACAGAGTGAGATGTCATCACAGGTAAAACTATCAGCTGATCTCACGTCTACATACAATCGGAATGTAGCATATTCTCCATGGTGGTGTAAAAACAAATTTACATACTGTATGCTTGTGCATCATCCCTCCAGGGCCTGCTATAAAAGTACAGCATGTAATTAGCTGCTACCTGTACTGAAGCATCCTGCTTTTTTGTTCTGCGCAGTCATTTCACTCCAGCGAGTTACCAGCCTGACACGAATGTCATATCAGGAGCCAGAAAAACAGATTCATGAGGCATCTTTTCTGTTGAAGACAGTCTAGATTTATGAGGCATCTTAACAACAGTCTGACATTGACAGTGCCAGAGAAGGAGTGAGAAAGCTTAAAAAACCTGACAACCAAAAGAGAGCATGGGCAAAGTCCCAGAATTGCTTGGGGACTGTAGTGTGGCATGTAAACTGTTGTGAAGAGCTGCAGAAACAGAAAGCATGCAAAGGAGACAGTGTACTGTAGATCATTCAGACAGGTCACACTATAATAGATGGTGAGTGTGTCTTGCTGTCAGAAAACTGCCCAAGCACATGCATCCACTGACAAATATAAGAGTTGTGCTCGTGGGCATCGAGATGCAGTCAGAAGTACTCAGCTGCACGTTACCATGAATATACAGCGATAAGCAGAGGCACACACAGGGAATCATGGATGTGTTGACGCTGCACTGATGAACTGTATTTCTATTAATGATACATCAGATAAATATGAGTTGTGTGAAAGTGTTCGCACAGGGGATTAAAACACAAACCTGCAGCCTTTTAGCCTCTTGTAACTCAATGTTGTGGTTCTGCAGCCTGGAATTTCTGTTTACATCAACTGCATTTCCAGCCGTAGCTGGTAGCTAGGTGGTCACACATCTATCAAGCTAACAACACATTTCATTATTAGGCTGGTGGACATTAGAACTGAGATAGAAAGAGACAGAAATATAATACATTTACTGGAAAGAAACGACTCCAAATAAATGCTAGTTTCTCTACCTGCTGAATGGTAAATGGGAAACTATTTGCTAACACTGTCAAATACAGTATTTTCAATCCCTTTAAAGTTCTTCTGACCCCAAAAGACAAAAAGGAGTGAGTGCATGAATGAAAAAAAGAAAAGATGAATGTATCTTTAAATCTACACAAGCCATAAATATGTATATTACTAATGGAATAACTGTGTGTAATGTGAGAGGGGTTGCTTGCAGTAACAAAACCACAGCTTTATTATTGTGGTTGAGTATCTTCACAGCAGGCAGGACTTGATGGAGACATTACAGAGCAACAAGGAAATTGAAAGTTGGCCTTAATTTGTCAGGTTGCCAGAAATACAGCTCCAAATGAATGCTAATAGTGCTTTGTATCAGTGGTTTACTAACATGCTGGCCATATCAGCTTTAGAAGATAATACTGCTTGTTCAGCCGCCCTTAAGTGCAAAACAATTATTTGTCTTTCTAAGGTTCAGTAACTATAACTAGACATCGTGTGACAATTTAAGTGAAAATGGGACGGGACGTGGTGTCTCTCAGCTATACTACCCCCCTCCATGACATTCTGCTGCCTATAGTTAATCCAGTTTCTAGGCTCTGTGTTGTTAAAATAAGGACCACAGTCACCTGCCATTACATAAGCAACTGGAAAATACACAGTGTTGTTCTTCAGACTAAAGCGATGCCGGAGTGTCATACTGCTGAAAACCTGGCAAATGTGCCTTCCACCCATGCAGAACATTGGGGACCTACAGTTAAAGCCACAGCATGCACATATGACAACACAAGCAATATGGTGCTGATATTGGTCACAGAGCACATTTTCTGCAAAAATCTAAAAGTCTATGGAAAAATTCCACTGGCTTTTTGTCCTGGGTTGGCCTATATGTCACTCAATTATGATTTTAATTTGGGAGTAATTCAAGTTTTGTGTCACATTAGCAGTAACCACAGCATCCTATTGGATTGACAAATTTACTCCTTTGTCAGCTAATGCTAGCTTTAGACTGGAGGCTGCATTTTGCAAAGATTGTTGCAACCAGACATCTGTAGTTTACGTTGTTGCTAGGAAACAGGATGCGATGGGAGGGGCAGTGAGCGGTTAGTATCGGCTTATGGTGTCAGTCTGAGTTTCATTAGATCCTCTCGGGTGAAAGGAATTTGATCCAGTGTGGGTCTGTCTATTCTCCTTTGTGGCTGACAGTGGTACTGCAGCCCTGCATGCAAGATGCATACTGTATGTAAACTGCAAATGAAGCCAGTTATGACTTTATGCTACACTTTTAAAGCATGATGATTTAGCCTACTTCTTGAGTGTATGTGGGCAAGTTACATTCCTTATTCACTACAAATACATTCACAACACTCTCTCTTTCTCTCTCTCTCTCACACACACACACACACACACACACACACACACACACACACACGCAGTGGATTCAAGTAGGTTAATTAGTGTTAGAAGGAGGAGAGGGCCATAGTCCCCTACCAGCAGAGCTCTTTACTGAAAGATTGATTTCTGTATTCTCTCCAAGCTTTTGTGGTTAGTGCCAGGTGGAACTGTGTGTGTGTGTGTGTGTAGCGACTGAGTGCATGGCTGAGTGAATTAGTGAGCATGGTTGCAAGCAAACAATACATTCAGGCTTACAGTTCCATGCTTGGCTTTGCATAAAAGGAGCATGGTGTGTGTGTGTGTATGTGTTGCACTTGTACTAATGTGATGAGCATGTGGCTTGCATCTAACACACTTAATTAGGCTGCACACAACATAGTGAACAGAAATAGTCAATTGTCAACTGGAATCTCATCTGAGCTCCTACAGCATCAGTGCTCTCTCACAGAAATAGATGTCTGACTATGTTAACAAGACCTGCTAGGGTGCTGACCAAAAAAATATATGATGTGAGGCAAGAGGATGCAAGTATGAAAGAAACAATGCTTATTTTGGTGGCCAGTGATAGCTCTCTCTTCGTTATCTGTATTTCTTATTTCTCTCCAGTCTTCTTCCTTCTCTCTATATATGAATGTCTTTTTTTTTAAGATAAAGTTACTGTTAGGGTGGCACTGTGGCATTGGCTTGCAGCACGAAGGTCCTGGGCTCAAGTCTCGCAGCTAAATTTTCTGTGTGGAGTTAGCATGTTTCCTTGTACCTGCATAGTTTTTCGTCGGGTGCCACTGTCCAGAGACATGTAGGTTGGGTTAGTGGGCAACTCTTAAATTGTCCATAGGTGAGTATGTAGTTGTCTGTGATAGACTGGCAACCTGTCCAAGCCCCGCCTCTTGCCCAGTGTCTGCTGGGATTGGCTCCAGCCCCCTCGCAGCCCTCTATAGAGTATAGATAATGGATGAATGGATGGAGACATGATGGTTAGCATGCTTTTCCCTCATGCACCAGCAATCATAACTGCCATAATTCTTGAGTGCCTTCTGCAACTACAGTTGACTCATTAGTTACAGTACATTAATTCTAAATGGTGAAGCTGATCACTAGATCGTCAACTGTATATTCAATAAGTCCAACAATATAGCAGGATAAATAAGACCAACAGAGGCCACATGCCATGCAGGAACACATTGCAGTCCACAGGTCAATGAATTTGTCACAAAACATTTTGCTCAGCAGCTCCATCCATCATCTTTCACCCCTAACTCTTGTGCACAAAGGCTCCTCTCAGCCTAAGCAAACACTCGACCAAATGTCTGTCTTTTGAGTATAAAATAGTCACTCACAGCATCACTTCTGAATAGTTGTAAAAGCTGTAGTCAGCAGTTTCACAGTGATCACAGTGGCAAATGTTAAATTGTGTCAAACCAACATTCAGGAATTACCTAAATTGTTCGCTATTGGTGGGAGTATGAACACTCCTGCTTCACTATGAGTACAGGATTTGTCAGGCTAAACTAAGTGCTGATTTTCAGGTAGTGCCTCCAGACCATAGCTGGCTGCTAAACCATGTTTCATTTTCATTGTTTACATGTTGAAATACAAAAGATGTGACATTGGTGTGGAGGCCTTTGAGATGTTTAAAGGCACCTTTAATCAAGGATTACTAAGGAACAAAAGTTAAATAAGTAATGCAACCAATTATTTGTGCAGCTGAGTAGTTGGTAAAGTAGCACAATAACTTTTGCAGTGAGTCATATAGATGTAATTTGTAAACTGATTTTTCAACTAATTTGTTTGACATTGCTAGCTAAGTACTTTGTAAGCTCTGTCTGATGTATCTTATTCAGGAACAGTAGTAGATTATACTGCAGGACAAGATAAGAAGTTTGATATCATTTATATGTTATATAAAGAAGCAAATTATTGGCTTTGCATTCTATAGGTAGCAACTATTTTACTGTATATTCAAAAGAGATTAAGTAGTTTTTCTACCTTGATTTGACTGAGTTATGACTGAAGAGTATGAGTTTTGAAACCTATTGCTGCAACTGGATGCTCAGTGTCACCTACAGTAAACTGCCTCCACAAGTTGTGGAGGGGTGGTAGCAGATCATGGTTGATCTGTGATCCGAACGGCCCACCCCACATGGTTCACTATGCATATAAACCACGGATTATTACACTGTTTACTCATTACAGTGTGAAATTGTTACCGTTCTCTTGTAAAGCAGTAAATCCCCAAATCTCAATGCAACAATACAGAGTTGTAGTGGAAAGAGAGGGTGGATTAGATTTGGCGGTGCCGACATGCCACTTGTCACGTAGTGTAGTTAAAATGAACAGTGACCACACCCATCTGGCACAAACTGCACTGTGTCGGTCAGGTTTTGGAACACACCCACAGAGGTAATGGAGTTGTGTTCATGTGAATGGGGTGTGTTTTAAAGAAGTTGGCAGCGAGAACCATGGCTAGTGGAGGAGTAGAAGAACTTGAAAAGCCCGCTGCATGATTAAGTTTCATGTATGGGAGCATTGCGGCTTTCCTGTAAAATATGACGACGAAAGAAAGGTAGTGGAGAAAACTGTAACGATATGTAGGGTTAGGGTTTATTTTAACATTTTATTTAAACATTGTGGATCTTGATTGTTTTCAGTTCATACCATATTCAGAAGTTCCTTGGTTTAAGCACTCACTTTAAGTCTTAGAATAATAAATGGAAAGTGAACGGTTTTTTTGTATGTTGCTCGTCCAAAAAATGATCTGATCATTTTGACCATATCATCCATGATATGGTCAAAACTGAGTTTTGGGATTCATCCCACCCCTAGTGCCTTTTACCTCATGTATTGTCTTTGCCTGATGTTTCTCTCTCTGTGCATCCCCCTCAGCTCTCCCAGCCCCTCTCAGAGGAGGTCAGCCTCACAGTTTTAAAACCTTTGGGTTAAACCAAAACGGGTTTTTTCATTTAAATTTTGTGCCTAAAATCACATTCCTGGAAAAACACTGAATTGGTGTAACCATAATCATAAAAATGAAACTCTAATCTTTATGTACTGTATGATTTCATCCTGTTCTGTATACTGTATTCCTCTATTGCTCCAAAATGTTGCCCAGGTATCATCACCTGCTCTTCCCCTTTTATCCATCCTCTGGCTGATGTCAGGGAGAGGTACAGAATACAGTTTACTGCAATCACACAACTCAAGGAGAATACATCAGGAATCTGATGTTCAGAATATTATTTATCTGTCTGGATGCTTCAGTGCAGTAGGTATGAGTCCCAATCTACAAGCATCCCGTGCTACAGTGTGAAGGACCATTTGAGCTTAGTGACTGATTACTGTGGTGCTGATGTTGTAGCAGAGGTGGACAGATGTGTAGCAAAGCATGACGCAGACAGGTTCGACCACAGTCAGCTTTTCTTCCTCTACAAGCAAAGGAAACAGTGACTGTGGTCATAATCAGCTGATGTTTCACTGGTTATAAAAGATGTATGGACTTCTGACTAGCAGCTTCAGCTGCTTGTATTGTGAATGAAAGTTAAAGAGCTGGTATGACAGAAAACAAGAAAAAAATGTGCTTTGAGATGGATTACAGTGATGGCAGAGGTCATCCTCTGTTGTGAAATTACAAAACTCTTTCTCAGTGCTTTCTAAATTTATTCAAAATTTTGAATCTCCCGCCTCAAGAGTGAGTGGTGTTGCAAACGTGCCTGTGGTGATGTCACTCCCAGACACACAAGGGTAAATCCACCCTCTGCAAAGCACTATGCTGAGAATGTCAGGAGTGTTACTTGGCTAAAATAGCTGTACTAAAGCTAAGCTAGCTGCCTCCAGCTACATGTGAAAAAACTACTTTGTTAGGAAATTTAAACAGGATACTATCATTCTGAAAAATCCAGTTGAAGTCTCCAGTCTGCAACAGCAGGCGCCTCACCTTCCCATTCAGGATCAGACTCTGGTTCATATACTATCTTGTGTTTTCAGCTGCAGCCATTATTTAAGTTAAAGATTGGCCAAAGGGCATTATTCATTTGGTCCTACTCTGATTTGCTGGGGCTGAACAATCATTCTAGCCAATCAGAGTAGGCGATCATGAATAATGTACATTTTATGTTAAAAACTCCTGAAGCACTGTGCTACAGGACATACTCTGGGCTGTTTGTGCAGATGGATTTAGATACATCTAAACAACTTTGAGTGAATAAAGTGTCACAGATTTGTTTAAAATTCACTCTGTATTTATAAAAATGTGTCAAAAAGGGCCATAATACCAGCTCTTTAAGGGCCACTGTTGTGGTAGTGGCTGCTAGCAGTGCTAGCTTTCACACATATACAACACAGCAACAAAAAAAGAGTAGAACCAAAACAATCACAATCCCAGAACATCACAGTCTAAAACTCGTTGTTTCTAAGGTCGTAGAAAAGTGTCCGAGCTTGGTGTCGCCGCAGCAGAGAGTGGTGCTTCTGTAAAGAGAGATACACATATGGCCCTAGGTTCCTTTAATATCCAGAAAAGTACCCTGCTTTTATTCAAAAAAAATGCTCAACAGTTCAAAGGCGTGTTGTTTCTTCAGACATGGTATGTGTGTCTGTTTTTTTGCTCATGTTCTTTCTTTTTTTTTGTCTTCCACTGATTTCCCTGGAGTAGAAAAGCTCTGTTTTTCGTCCTTGCCAGTCACATCAGCCAACTTGAACGTCCTTAATTTTGTATTCATCCAGCTCCGTCACAAACTGTCTCTGCAGCTCCCATTCGAAAATGCTCATTGAATGAGAAAAAGAGCTGCTTATTTCCCGGTGTACAAGAAGACTCCATCATTTGGACATAAAGACAGAAGAGTATCTGTGTGATCTGTGGATCTACTTCATGTGTTTTGGTCTGTGTTTATGCACACACATGAATAAAACATCAATGCCACTTTGCATTTATTCCAGTGCGAGTTAGTGTCTGTGCATGTGTCACACTGTTTCCTGTATGCAGAGGGCTTCCACAGCATTACTGGGTCCCTGGGCGACTCCACCAATGACAAAGAGCACGTTGTTTGTCTGCAGGAGGGCAGAGGAGCAGCGTGCGGTGGGCATAGACACCACATACTCCCAGCGCCGCTTCACTGGGTTGTAGCTCTCCACTGAGCCCAACGGCCATGGTTCATTTCCTGCAAAATGAAAAGTAACATGTTAGGATGACTGCAGTTGTTTCTACTGTAATGTTGTCCAGATCTTAACTTCTGTGTGAAATATGCACATGCACAACATGTGCATATTGTTGATCATCATCTTTTCAATGTCAGCCTCTCTCAGACTAGTTAAAAGCGAACACAGATGAGGGTGTCGGTGGAGACAAGAAAGCTTCAGATCTGCTAGACATTTAAAAAGATGCTTCTGTTCAACCAAACTATAAAAAGAACTTATCGTAATAGAGCAGTTTTTGAAGGAACTTCGCGATTTGAATGTCACACAAATTACGTTATTTTTTATTCATTCCGTACGCACGTCCACCACATTTCAGTTAAACCTGTGCATGTGTGGCAGTTTAGGGTATCAGCAGCACTGACACCAGAGCTGGATGCCATATACAAGCATGAATGTGAAGCATCAATACAAAATTTGGATCTGACATTTTCCAGATATTTTCCTCAGGAGTTGTTGGAGACCAAAAATGGAGCTAAAACAAAGTGAATATTGGACTTGGTTATGTGACCAGAAACATGACTTGAATGTTAATGTTGGTCTGTGTATTAATTAACAGCTTAATTATCTCTAGCAGTAAAGTAGATCATTTATTGTTCTTTTACATAATTTAGAAATGTAGCAAATCAGAGATTAATTTATATGCAAATGCAGGATAGTACTGTATGTGCTTAAGGAAATGCTGAAGCAAACAGGTTTGCAAAAGAAAGTCAGAAATACAAAGCCAGGGGATGACTGAAGACTTTTATTTTATGTAGAACATGTAACGTCTCACTGCGGAGTCTTCTCGTTCCTAAACTCTGTCATCTCTTGCTTCATTTTTCTCTCTCCATGTTTCTCTTTCCATCCTCTCGCTCTCCTTCACCTCGGGTGCAATGCTCACGTCATTATAAATCAGCCAGCACTAAGTTGTTGCCGTTTCCATGGAGACCTACATCACAGCGAGTCCCCAAACGATATGGACTGGTGAGTGTATGATGTGTGTGCATGTGTCTGCAGACTATTATTATCATTTTGTTGGAAGAACAAAGTGACAATACCGAATCGGCCTTTTCAAAGCAGCCCAGGCCTGCTCAGGCCTTGGCTCCTTTATCACATTTTATGAAGACACACACAAACATACACACACATGTCCACTTCTGCGACTGCACACAAAAATGTACTCCTTGGTGCCTCTGGTGTTCAAAAGCTTCCTGTCATCGCTTTGATTCTCAGCCCTTAGACGTCATGTCAGTTCACCAGCTGCCCCCATCCTCCTCTTCCTCCTCTGTTTTGCTCGCACTCTGCTTTTGACCTCCATGCCTGACCTTCTCACTTCTGTCTTTCTTTATCTCCTTTACTCTCCAGTTGTCTTTCTTCATTTTTCATTCTTTACACCATTTTTTAAATTCTTCTTGTTTCCATGTTCTTATCTAATTCTTTCTTAGAATCCATTTTAAAGTAAAATACTGTTGCTCCTCACTGTCACTCATTTGTCCTTCTGCTTTGTTCACCTTAGCTCTTCTTTCTCCTTTCCCCGTCACTAACCCCTCTCTTCTTTACTCTACTCTTCATTTTAGCTCCACGGTCTCCTCTTTGATGCCCCTAGTCTCAGATTGTCTTTCTTCTGCCTCTGTCACGTCTCCTGTTCTCTTGTTCTTTTGCTTCTTCTCACCTTCTCATTGTTCACTGAAACTTAGGAGACTACACAATTTAACGGTGATAGATGTCTGTGCCTGTTTTTGGTAAAGGAACATCCTTGAATGTCAACTCTCATCATGGTATACATGTTATCCAGTGTGTTAAAAAAACCTATGGGTGTAGGTGTGTGCCGTTATATTAAATACAGTGACAAAGTATTTGGTAGAAATGGCACCTGACACCTAAGGACTAATACAGGTATAGGAAGGCAATGCATTTCACTTGGCATGGAAAAGACGAAACTAAGGAAAAGGGCTAAATTTGAGAAGCAAGGGCAACAAGGACTGTTTCTCTGTGTGGTTGTTCTCCTGGTAGTCATACCTTTGTCTCTTTGTAGTCATTTTGTGTCTTTGTGACCATTTTGGGCCTGTTTGCATTTGCTTTGTGTCTTTGTAGTGTTAGATTTTTTTCACTGCTCCTTATAGTCATTGTGTTTGTTTTTTTTGGTTGTTTTGCTTCATTTTATGTCTCTTTATGGCCGTTTTGGGTAGTTTTGCATGTTTTTATAGTCATTTTGTATCTGTATGGTAATTTTGCATGTTCTTGCTGTTGTTTTGTGTCAGACTGTAGTCATTTTACATTTCTTTATGGCTGTTTACCCTCTATTTGTAATCACTTCACACTTTGTAGTAGTTACTCTGTCTCTTTGTTGTCTGTCTGTCATTGTATTTTGTCTTTTTGTCATTTGATTGACTTTTGAACAAATACTAGAGGCCCTGCCAAGAGGTCAGGAGGCCGGTGTGTGGTAGGCCCATTCAGCAATCCATCCATGTTCAGGCCCTAAAGGTGGATGCTGGGTGGAGGTGGGACCCTTTAAGTGCTATATGAACAGGTGCAAGCAACAGTTTAGCTGGTGAGCAGTGTGGTAGCAGGCATGCAGCAAGAATGAGCAGAGCACTGACTTAAGTTAACTGCCATGATTAAAAGTGTGTATTGGCTGTGGCCATGTTGCAGTGGAGAGAGCATGCTATGTGAGGGTCCTCCAGTTAGCAACATTAATTGTTTCATTGTCTATTAAAAGAGCAAAAACCAGGGTTAACATCAGTTTTGGCTTTTTGAAATGAGTGTTAAAAACAGCCAAAGGGCTCTGGTTTGATTCAGATGTGGCCTTTATCCTTTTGGATGTGTTAGCATTTGTTTCGGTAACATTAGTGACCCAACATGGTCATGATTTTAAAAAGTGAGTAATTTGAGTTCGTGCTTTGCATCACATTAGCAGTAACTAGAGTGTTCTACTGGACTGACAGATTTACTTGTTATTCAGCTAATGCTTGCTTTAGAGTTTATCACAACAAGGCCTCTGTAGTTTATGCCTACACTTGGAAACAGGAAGTGATGGGAGGGGCAAAGGAGTGACTTATGTTGTTTTTGTCATGTCATGATGCTTTATCGTAATTAATTAGGCCTGTAATCATGTATGTCCTTGACCTTAGTTGACCAACTCAAAATCTCAAAAACCTGATGATCTCTCTGTATAGTCCCAGACATTTGAATTGCATTTGATGTAATTCATGAGGCTTAACTCATTTTACATCAACTGTACCATGTAATTTTGTATTTGCAGCTCCAAATCTCAAGTTCATCCTCTGTCATTTCCCTCCCTGTCCTTCAGTGGTTCCCCTTCTCTGAAGTGTTAACTTACCCTCTGACCTTCTGTTACTTCTGTTTTCAGACAGCCAGATAATAGCACAGCATTCCAGGTCAAACAGAAGCCACAACAAACTGGTAACTTGTGTTAATGTCTTGTCTATGCTGTTAATGGTGCCATTACATGCCCTCCTTTCACCACGTATCATATTTTACCAGGTGGCACACAGCAGGCAGATTATGCGGCACTTATCCTTGACCTCCTCCTGCACTGTCACCAGTTTTTTATGTTTGCACAGAATAAAATATAAGTTGTTGTGGGTCATAGTGCTGCCCAGTTCACCACAGCATGGTTAGAGGTAGCTGTACACCTGTTAATACCACTCTGGTTAGGTATAATATGACTGAACACTACTGCTCAATGCAAGCTGAGGCACATCATGCTCTGCCTTTGCAGGGTTTTGGAACAGATGAGCCACTGCTCAGTTCCAGCTAGCTGCTGTCAGAGGATGACCCATGGATGGTCGCACACAACAATTTTTTTGTTCTTGTTGTATTTTATGTAATTGCTTTATTAACATCTGTGCCTGTGAAGCATGTTGTAATACACTGAAAAGTGCTACAGTATGTAAATAATGTTTTACTCATTTGCTTTTATAACCGCATTAATAATGCTGTTTGGTCTTAGTGGATGCGTTTTCCTTTTTTATTTCTCAAGTCAAATGACAGAGGGTTGGAAATATGCCTTAAACCAGCTATGACTCACAGGCCCAAAATATCACCATGAATTAGATGGTGAGCCAGACTCACAGCTGACACTCGCACAGAAAAAAATATAACACATCTACCTCTTTTACTCTCACTCTCCCATTAGTAAACACACACACATACTTCTATCTTTGTGAGGACTTACTGACATAATGCATTCCCTAGCCCCTTACCCTGTCCTTAATCATGAGAACTAAATGCCTAACACCTTACCCTATCCTAAGCCTAATTATAACCTGAACCCTAAAATCAAGTCTTAACCCTCAAAAAGCTGTTTCAATAAGTGAGGACTGGCCAAAATGTCTCTGTAGCAAAACTACTTTTGGTCCATTACTATGTTGTAAGTACAGGAACACACACACACACACACACTCATACAGTTGTGTTTTCATTGCTTCAAAGGACATTACATTGTCTTTCATTGATTTCCTAGAGACTTACCTTAACCTTAGCAATAACCAGTACTTTCCTAACGCTAACCTCACCTCACCCTAACCTTAAATCAGGCTGCCGCTTTAAAATTAAGTGATTCATGTTTTGGAGACTTGCTTTTTGTCCCCATAAGAACATCAGATCCCCATGATGCGACTGTGTAAACAGATTTACATCCTTACAACATGAGTAAAAACAATCTACATACACACCCACGGTCACGTCTTACTAATATACAGTACTTGGCCAGAGTTGTGAGGGCACTGTTTTAGATAATGCATTCCCTATCCTGTTAACATAAGATCACAAATAACTAACTCCAATTTTAGCCCTAACCTTAACCTAATTATAACCTGAACCCTAAAACCAAGTCTCAAAGGATAAGGCTTGTCATTTTCTATCCTCATACAGAGACTAAAACCAACAATGAATTGAAAATGCTTATTCATCTGTGCCATAGGCCTCTGATTTGTTCAGAAATGATTCAACATCACTGAAACACACCGCTGCACTGGATAACATTTATTTATTTATTTTTTAATTACAAAGCATCAGACCTCTGTATTTGTTAAAAATCTTGCCTCAAAAGCTCCAAACAGCCATAAATTTTTATAGTGGCTGAAGATGGCAAGAGTCAACTGTGTACGTGCAAAGAGCTAGCGGACTGTAAACAAAGCAGAAAGCTCACATGGACATCTCATGCATGCACTGTTGATTCTTGCATACTTAACCATTTCTGAACAACAATGGAGGTCTATAGCACAAACAAATAAGCTAATCCAGGTTGGAGACTGGCAGATGTTTATAGTGAGTAGAAGCGATTCACTGTTGGTTTTAGTCTTTGTATGGGGAGTGTTCAAAATACTTCATATCAACAGGACAGCCTGTGGGGTAGCTGCTTGGATTGCTCCAAATCTGTAATGCTTAAAAACACATTTTACCTTTGGCAGTTTAAATTGCAGCTTTTGTGGGTTGAAAAAAGTCTTATGTTAAATCACGCATTTGATTTGAAAACGATTAATTGTTCAGTCCTAACCCCTTCATATAAAAGAGAACTCGTCCTGCTTTCTAACTTACAGGTGAAATAACAGCGTAGAAGCTGGTAAAAGCTCTCAGAAATTCTCATATTTCTCTAAAATACCTCAAAATTGATGTTGTGATGTTTGACTGAGATGTAACAGTAAAATAATCATCATTCAGCATGGGCTGTGTTGTTTGTGTGTGCACAGAGAGACATTCTTCCAGAACAAATGTTTTTACTCTGTCAGTAGATTGTCTTATGTCTTCAGTTTGTGTGTGTATCTAGAGTATGTACAGTATGTGTGTAACACAGTGAACAGTCAGTAGCTGCTTCATACACATGTCATGCAGGAGAAAAAAAAAAGCCTTCCTCTGATTAACTTGTAGCATTGCACAGTCTCTCTTCACACTGTATGAGCTAACAAATGCAGGTCAGTCAAGGAGAAAATGAAAAGTTAATTGAAAATTAATTTTGAGAACATGTGTGTATGGTGTTTGTGATTAATCAGACTTGTGGTGTGTGATTTGCTGTTAGCAGTGAATTCTGTAATAAGCAAAACTGTAAGCTTCAAGGCTTTAATTATCAGATGAATGCTTTTAGTTTAAAAAAGGGGTTGATTTTTTCTCCAAGTATCCATAAGAATGTATTTCCAATAATTACACACTCGACTGATCACCCTTGTACAGTACAATTAGCTTGCAAGGCTACTGACAGTAAGCCTACTGATGCCTCTGGCTGTTTCTGAGACTCCCACTTTCAGGCCGTAATTGTTATTTTGAAAGTCAATCACAGCAAAATGCTGTTAAGTAGGTTATGAGAAATGTAAGATCTAGTGTTTACTAGGGATTAAAATGCCAGGATTTCTAAGCCTCTGCTACATCAATTTAGACCAGTCTTTGTCAGACCGCCAGAGTAGAGAAAGGAAGGCGGGAGCTTTGGCATTTTGGATTTATGATTCTTTTGAGTCAACACACTGCAGTCAGAAAGTATCAGTTACACTGTTATGCTGGACTCCATATGAGGTAAAGCTGAACCTGAGCACTGACAACACAGATTACCCCAACAGATCATGTACTTAGAAGAGAATGAATCATTATTACTACAAAATGGAGCTGAATGATTGTTTCCAAATTGAAATCACGATTCCACAGATTTTCAAATTGCAACATCTGAATTTTAAACTGCCATTAAAACATGTTTTTAAATGCAATAGTAAACAATCCAAGTGTATTGGATCAATATGGGACACAATTTGTAATTTTTATTATCCACAGTGGTGAAGACATGGTAATACTAAGTGAAAATAAACCAGACTAGAACAGCTGTGATCTCAGACAGGCCAAGGATGGGCTCTGTCATCTTTAGAGATGTGAAGCAGCACAGTCTGCTGTTACCTCCCTCACTTCTGTCTCCCTCCACTGACCACAGGCAATTCAGTCCCAAAACTCTCCCACCAGTAACCTTCATTCATTCATTTTCTACCGCTTAATCGCTGAACGGGGTCACGGGTGGGGCCGGAGCCAATCCCGGCCGGCAATCGGGCGAAGGCGGGGTACACCCTGGACAGGTCGCCAATCCATCGCAGGGCTAACACATAGACGAACAACCACACATACACGCACGCACTCCTATGGGCAATTTAGAGACACCAATCAACCTAAGCTGCATGTCTTTGGTCAGTGGGAGGAAGCCGGAGTACCCGGAGAGAACCCACGCAAGCACGGGGAGAACATGCAAACTCCACACAGAAAGGTCCCAGGTGGGGCCCCGAACCCGGAACCTTCTCGCTGTGAGGCAATGGTGCTAACCACTGTGCCACCGTGCTGCCCCCACCAGTAACCATTCATAGCATTATCATTGTTAATTGCTGGCAGCAGTGATTGGTGTTGATTTCACTTTACATGAATAATGCAGCAGCAGAGAAAATACATAAAAAAAAAATCAAATGCTTCAAACTGTTCAGTGCATAGCAACAGAAACTGTGCAGACAATATAGGATTCAGGGCCACAGTCCTAGTGAGTCCAGTACAAGCACTAGTCAAATTTTATGGCATAAGATGTAGGAAGAATGAAGCCAGTCTAAGTTTATTGGGCAGCACGGTGGCGCAGTGGTTAGCGCCGTTGCCTCACAGCGAGAAGGTTCCGGGTTCCTGGGACCTTTCTGTGTGGAGTTTGCATGTTCTGCCCGTGCTTGCGTGGGTTCTCTCCGGGTACTCTGGCTTCCTCCCACAGTCCAAAGACATCCAGCTTAGGTTGATTGGTGTCTCTAAATTGCCCATAGGAGTGCGCATGCGTGTGTGTGGTTGTTCGTCTATGTGTTAGCCCTGCGATGGATTGGCGACCTGTCCAGGGTGTACCACGTCTTCGCCCGATTGCCAGCCGGGATTGGTAGAAAATGAACGAATGACTGAGTTTATTTAGCAGGGTAATGTTGTGTAGCTTAGTTTTCTGCTCTGGCTTCATCGGAAATTCTAATACAGTACTCACAGTCTGTGTAGAACTCAGATCTGCACATTATTATGAATGAATGAAGAACAAATCTCTCTTTTGCCTTTGCTGTTGTACAGTTTGAATCCAAGTCTTAAAACCTCTAGCCTATAGCTAGGTTGTTGTTCTATGTCACCTCTCTTTCCTTCATAGGTCAAAGCATAGTATTATATTTCATTGACAGAGAAAAGAGGGGGGAAAGGAAAGAAGGTACTAACCTAGACCTCCAGCTGCAATGACCCTTCCTCCCAGGCATCCTGCTACAAAGTCAGCCCTCTTCTCCCTCATTCGGGATGTTCTGCTGGGTTTGATCCAGATACCTGCCAGAGGTGGAAATCAATCAAAAAAGATGAAAACATTCCTCATTCTCTAGGTATTTTAATGAATATCAACACAACAAAATCAGAACTTTCAGGCATTACACTCACAGAAATTTTCCCACTGTGGGATCAATAAAGTACCTACCACATGATTGTTGAGCATTTCATTCCAAAACTATGGGCAGTAATCTACTGGACAACAGGGTTCCACTTCTCTGCAAAATCTTTGGAATTTGGCTGCAGGGATTTGCTCCCACTCACCCACATTGGGGTTCAACTCTGATGTATGATGATAAAGCCCGGTTCACTGTCATACATAGCTCAAAGTTGTACCAAAGGTGTTTGATGGTAGTGACATCAAAGCAGACCAGTTAAGTTTGTCCACACCAAACCACACAACCACTTCATAAACCCTGCTCTGAACATGGAGACACTGTCATGTTGAAAGAGGGAAGGTCTTTCCCCAAAATGCTGATATAAAATTGGAAGCACAATATTCTCTAAAATATTGCTGTTTGCTGTAGCACTATGATTTCCCTCCGGCGGAACTAAAGGGTTTAGCCCAAACACTAAAGTACTTTTGGCCATATACTTCATTAAATGTTGCATGTCATTCAAAATGTTGTATACATTACTACATTACTGTTTCAAGTCTAAGCTAAGCTAACCGACACCTGGTTTGACCTTGGTATTTAGTGTACAGCCACTTAACTTCTGGTATTCCATGCATTCCCCAACATGTCCAACTGTGAAAGAGCGGTAATAATTTATTCCAATAAAAGCATGGTTCACCCCCCCTTGTTTAGGACTGTTTCCTTTGTTTTCAGACAAAAGCCAAACCAACATCAGGTTGATGAATAACAGAAGAGGTCATTAGTACACAGAGGGAGAGAGAGCATAAGTCAAAATGAAAGAGGAGAGGAGGAACAAAAGGAGGTACATTAGTGTGATATATTTGTATTTGACAGCACAAGACCTGCCTCTGGAGCCCTGTCACAACTCGGCTGTCAGTTGAAGTCAAAAGTATGCAGGAATTAAGTTAAACATTTCCTGTGGTTCTGCTGCAGCAGTGCTGATACTTTTTTGCCTATCAATGGGGTGCTCAGTTAAAGTAGCAGTGTTTTTGGAGATCTTTGGTCTCACATCTAAGTATTACTGTAGACAAACTGATTGCCGTCCCCAGCACCAACTCAATAGCATGACTAAAAAGAGATGGTTTAGATTGTGGTAGGGATACACCACAGGGTGGAGAGCTCTCTAGTTACTGATCCTTGCTCCAACACTCACAAACAGTCAAGGGCTCTTGAAAGTGACTGAGAAGTAAATATGATCCTCGGGTACAAATCTGAGAACATTGCTGGAGGATAAAGGGACGTCTCTGCTCTGATCAGCTTCCCACACAGCTACTCTGGCTGCGATAAACTGCATAATAGTGCATGGAGGTATGGATCAGTGGGTAGATGGATGCATGAAGAAATGAACCGTCATTTAACAACATAAAATTAGTTTAACATTTTCTCATGGGTGTAGGGCACTAAGCAGAATCCAACATAACTGAAAGGTGTTGGAACATTAAGTGTACTTCTGCTGTTACAGCCAAGTCTCCCTGCCGAGGCTGAGCAAAGCAACAGCTAGAGAGAAAGCTGAATGTCAATTTAGTTTGACAAAACAATTGTTAAATTTGTTCAGACAGCTGCTGCTGCGCTCCCAACTTTCAAGCTTTCACTGATACTTTTCTGTTTACAGCATTTTCTGAAGTGCTGTCAAATTTTGAAGTCCATCATTACCTAAGAGAATGAAAGGCAAACGTCACTTTGGTAAAAAAAAAAATGTTTTTCTCTCTGTTGTTACTGCTAGTCAGCAGTAACACATGGAAAAGAGGACGAAAAAACGAGCTCTCAACACATTTTCAAAGGTGTTCCCCATGTTCATAAGCTAAATCCATTTAGTAAAGTTGACTTCATGTAAACAATGAAATGCATGGGGAGAGGACAGAAGAGAAAACACAAATGTGCTGTAGTGCACAGTTGGTAACCTAAGTCAGAGGAGTGGAAGGCAAAGCCACCAGCAGCTCAGTAATATATACTGTATGCCGGCTGCAACAGCTCAGCTCTTCAGCAATGAAAAATGGAACAGCCGGATAACATGCAAATATAGTGAAGATATACAGGAAGAGGCATGCAAGCTTGTAACTTTAGCTGTTTTCTTCTTCCCCGTGCCATCTATAGATACACTGGCGGAAATAGTCATGACAGTGTTGGTGTTTCTGTGGCTCAGCTATCTCTGGATTCAGTTCAGCATCTGCAGTTTTTCTCTGATGGACTGATAAATGTTTATTTACTTCCTTATTTAATGTTTATTTTTATAGGGCCAAGTACAGTATTATAGCATGGACCAATGCCACATATGACAACAGTCTACACTAGTTCACAGTGCCCGTCTCTTGAGGGGGCTTTATGTAAATAAAACTCAACTTAGCAATAAAGTACATAAAAACCACTAAACACAAACAGCAACACAGTTAAAGTACCATAATACACAACAACAAACACCAGATCATTCATGGCTACAAGACTTCACTCAAAATTGATGCATCAGAACCAGAGTTATTTTTACAATTGCAAAACCTGGCATTTACAGTATATTACCACATCTTTACTTTGTTACTCAAACTTGTATTCTTCAGAGCAAAGTGCTGTTGGGTACCCATGGGCACTATTGTAAGCACTGTGATAGCTGGATAGAGACTAACTGGAAAGTTATGCCGGATACATATTTAATATTATCATCTGCAAACATGCTGCATAGTCATTTACTGTGTATGCATATAAGCTGAAGAGAAGTGTGACAAGGACAGAATCCTGTGGAATTCCTGTTTTAAGGGGCCAGTATGTTAGTAATGGTCAAATGAGGCTTTCCTGAAGCAATGAGGCTTTGCAAGTGAGGAACACAGAACAGTGAAGAGCCTGGTCAATATCAAAAAGTCCACACCCGAGTACCCATAATATTTAGATCAAAATGAGCAACAAAGCTCAACACAGTTGCCTGCCACATGGCCTGCAGCTATACAAAGCACACACAAAGCTGTCTTCACAAAATTCTAGCTACCAAACAAAACTAGAATCAACACAAGTGCCAAACCAAAGTAGCATACCCAAAGTTTCCTTTACACCAAAGACTCACCAAGCAACCAATTCAAGGAAATAGAGCTATGACAATGCATGAGCTGAAATGCTTATTTACACAAAAGCTACCAGGACAAAACCACTCAATGTAGGCACACCATAAGACCTGTTACAAATCCATGGTTACACACTCACTGACAATAAAACTCAAATCTGCTCATTAAGCACCAACAACAGCAACAGTACTGAGATCTAAACAAACTCCAATGGATCTCCGTAGACTGCTGCAAACTTACCATACAAAGTCAAGGTTAATACACAAAAGGGGGAAAAGAAATCCCTCAACAAGTAAAACCAACTGATGGTGGCACTAAAGTCATGGGACCATGGTGTAGTTTGTAAGTAGCCTAACAATAGCTTTTTACTTCTGGTAATTGTATTTTGGGCTTCAAAAATCATTAGTGGTGTTGGATTTGTGATGATTATCTTGCTGAACAAAACGCCCTAAGTGTCATAAAATGTCGTTTGTCACGGAATTTTTTTTTTTTTTTTTTGCAATAACCCCGTAGCCCACTGGCTTTTTGTGTGGCAGTGACAATGTCGGAAGGGTTTGACCTTCTCTATTGAGCCGTTTTGTGTGCAACATTTTCCTCATAGTGAAAATATTTTTGTGTCTGTACACCTTTGACTTCAAACAAGGTTGATGACAAGTGTGTGTGTAGAGTGGTGGTGGTGTGTGTGTGTTTGCACAGAGCAGTCTGTCGCATGTGTATTCTCACACACAGCTTTTCACAAAGCTCGTCAAGCGGAACGTTACCAAGAGACGGAGCGAACCATTCTCCCATACTGAAAAGAAAACTTGTATGCAGCATTTTTCACTGCAGTCATTTGTCAGCACAAATGATTAATTCCATTGCCCTAGCGAGCTACAAACTTTGGGGAAGAGCCAGCAATAATTCACTCTGGGCGACATTCTTCTTGTTCCTGTTGGACCAACCAAATGCCAGGGGTGCACACAAACAGTTTGCTGTGGTGAATGAAAGCAGGTGAGTGACGTGTGGAGCAGATATGTGTCTGGCGGACTCAGCTGGAGGAGAGTGTGTTTATTTAAAGCTCAGAATCAATCCTCTCCCTTCTCCTGTTTCACCCACCCAGACACCAGCACTTCACTGGGTACCCATCACCCAGCTCAATAGGACAAATAGACAAACAGTTAGAAGGCATATGAGATGGAAGCATGAGCACGCACATTCATATTGAAACACACAAGCCTTCAAATAAATGCACACAAGTCACAGATGAGTTAAAACTGTATGTCTGTAGACAGATGTGGACACATACTGCTTATGCACAATTTTCTTCATGTGCATCTTGCACTCACTCACCCCAGTATGTCTCGAAACGTCATCAAGGTGGAAATAGGAACATGTAGGAAAGGAAATGAGGTGATAATGACAGCAGGACCTCTTTGATAGATGTGTAGAAAATACCCTGTGTATTTCAGATACACATCACTGCATGTGATCACAACCCAGAAGCAGCAGGACATCAGTTAGCAGATGCTTCTTTCATAAAATCAAAGAAAGTTTATGGCTAATAAACATGCAGATAGTTGTCGCACTTCTGAGCTTCCCACAGTGTGAGGACAGCTTGCCTTCCTTCCTTCCTGACTCAAATTTGAGGCCATATTTTAATGTCTACTGCTCTACAAAGGAAAAGAAAATGCAGATACATATCTGATTTAAAAAAAAAGTGTTTTGTTCTGTTTTACGCTATAAAGGCTACATAAGTAAAAGCATGTAACACCAGCAGTGTGTACCTAAAGGGTCAAGAAAGTGAAATACTTAAGTCCAGTTAAGTACATGTACCTGTGCC